GTGGGCACATCTGTGGATGATGGTGCATATTTGTGTGTGCAGGAAGCTATATGTGCTGTTATTTTCTAGTCAGTTACTTCCAGTTTTTGGACTTACTTTTATGTCTTCTGCTTGTGTTTTATAGATGAGATTATCCATTCTGGCAGGATTGAATATAAGCACATTGAGTAGAAAACCCTTGGGAAACATAAAACCTACTTTTTTTCTTGAACTGTCTCTACCCTGATTCTATAATAAGAAACTAAAGCAGTGTTAAACCAGAAGTGTTACCTGGAGTAGTAGTCCACTTTTGGTGCAGGTATGTATTGTATGACCTGTTTTAGACGGAATTGGAATGAGTTAACACAGTGGTTCTCAAGAGTGTTTTCCCTGAACCAGAAATATCAATGTTATCTAAGAACATTCTAGAAATGCAAAATCTCAGGCTCCCCTCCAGACCTGGAAATGTGAAACTTTGGAGCTGAACCTACCAATCTGTGGTCTTACAAGATCTCCAGATTTATTAAAGTTAATTACAGATTAACAATTCAGTCAACTGCTAAAATTTTAAGATAGAATGGCGGTTACAGTTCAGTTGTAGAATACATGCTTGAGGCACTTGGTTAAATCTTTAGGATGCATACAAGAAATCCTGAAAATTTAAAAAATAGAATAAACTTTAAAATAATTCCAATACTACAGAAATTCACACTCGTAAAAGTTTTTTCACGAGCATGTTTGCTGAATAACACTGTGAGACTATACTGAGCAGTGGAAATGTATGAAAATCTAGGTTCAACTAGTTTGTGTAGAAGATGTTTGATATAGAGTAGTATATTTGAGGACGAACTCTTCCCATTTCAACTTCGCATGCAAAGAGAATATGAATATTTTTTCCTGTTACAGTATTTTTTAATGCAGAAATAATAAACAGCATGTGATTAGAAATTATGGGCATCCACTCAGTAAAAGTATTAGATGTTAAACTAGTTTTATTTCCCTTAGTCCATCATGAATCGAGATACATGAGTCACTGAAAAACCGGTATTCTATGGGACATTTTTCAAAATTTGTTATACTTCAGGATGGCTTCAAGAGATTTTAAAAATCCTTAGACTTTGCTTCACACATTTGGAATCAAGTCTCTGTGGGAAAGGGCCAGTAATTTATATTGTAACACTTCCTAAGATTTTTAACATGTCTAAATCAGCCAGATTTAGAAAACTTTTCTTTGGAACTTAAACTTTTGGGGCTAAGGATGCCAGGAAGATGAGACTTTTAAGTGGCAAGAGTAGTGACATCATAAACTATCCTACTGAAAATTTCCCTGGCTATTTTAGATACCTTTGCTTCTACATAGTGGAATGTTTTGCATTGGCTTAACATTTATGACCGACCTGGGTTGTCAGATCTGTGCGTGTCCCAGAGTAGCTGGCTCAAAGGAAATCTGCAATGAGTGCAAAAAAAGCCATATGAATAGACATTTCCCCTCTGACTTTCTGTGTTCTGTACTTTATGCTTCAGAGGTATGTGATGTCTTAGAAATTTACATGGATTCTGCTCATTGCACCAAAGGTAGAGAAGCATCGCGGATTTAGATGAAGTACCAGCTAGTGACTTACAGTACTGCTTTTCTACCACCTGTTGGAAACTTTTGAGGGTTACAGATTTCAGTGATCTTAATCATAGTGGTTTTGGGAACTAGCAGATACGGTAAGGGAAAGTCCAAAGACATATGGTAGTAGTGATATTTGAAGATAATGGACAGAGCCAAATGGCCTAAACCAATAGACTGGGCAATCTTCTCACCTTGAAATGGCAACACTACCTCTTACAGGGATGTGTTATGCAAGCAGCTTTGTAAGTCACCTGGTGTGGTTTCTGGCAAATAGAGTAAACATTCACTCCAGAAGTATTTGAATGGCTGTCTCATGCTTCCAAGTGTGTGGGATTCAGCTGTAAGCAAAAAAGATGAGTGCTGTGTCTGTCCTACATTGGAAAGTGGGGCCACAAGGACAGGGAGCTTATTGTTGTCATACCCCTGGCTTTAAAGGTTACACGGATGAGCACAACAAACTCAGTCCTATGATGAGTGAGTGGAGCTCAGTTCTAGAAGGACGTTCAGACAAAAGTTAGTAAAACAAATTAGATGGAAAGTGCTATGGGAGAAACGAAAGGCTGAGGAGGAGAAAACAGTGGGACTGACTTCTTTTGATAAAGACCTGGGAAAGAAACAGAGGAAGGGGCGATTCAGGAAGAGAGAAGTTTGTGTTTGGAGGCTCTGAGATGGAAAATCACTTAAAGGAGTAGAGAAGTGGGTAGATTGGTGTGGCACCCAAGGGAGAAAATGACAGAATATGAAGCTGAAAGACCCAAATAAGGAATTGACTATTTATTTATAGTGTCTTAAATGAGAATGTGTTTCATTTAGTCTTTACATAGTTAACTAAAAGTTACCATTTGTGTTTAAATTTATCATATTTTCCCATTGGCATGGCCATTTTATATTTTTTCTTTTAAACATTATTATTATTATTATTCGGTACCTGGGCTTGAACTCACAACTTGCACTTGCCAGGGAGGTGCTTATGCCACTGCACTAAATCTCCAGCTAGAGTTACTGCTTTAATCTTTTCCCCTTTAGTGTTATCAGTTCTTTCGCTGTTCATTTTGTTATCATGTTTACAACATGCATGTACACTACCACTTCTACCAGTTATACTTTCTGGAAAATAGAAAGATATAAAACATTTTAAACCCATTTTTCCTCCCTTGTGATACGAGCTTTTGTGGTTAAATTTTTACATTTACACATTTAAGATCCTGTAAAATATGACTATTATTTGCATATTTATCTTTTCTGTACTGTTTTGTCTTGAATCTCTTTTGTAAATATTTTTCAGTTTGCATCTTTACTACTACGTGTTTGTGTTATGTGATGATCACATTCCTCGTGGGGAGCTGGCACATGCACATGACCCATCTCAGATCCTTTCTTCCTCTTCTGCCTTGCCCTCCCCACCATCTCTTGATCCCCAAGACCCGTGTCCCTGCTTCCTATTATCTAACATTTATTTTGCTCTTTTCCTTGAATATCTTAAGGTGCCATCGAGGGTTAGTTTCCTTGTGCCTGAAGAACTTCCATTAGCTTTGCCGTATGTGTGTGTGTGTGTGTGTGTGTGTGTGTGTGTGTGTATGTGTGTTTTCTTTTGTGAGGAATGTGCAGATCTTAAATATGTGGCTTGAAGCCCCTGTCAGGTGATATCACCTGGATATCTGTGGACCTTTTTGTCTTCTATTTTTGAAATCAAACTTTGCCTCTTTGTTTTTCTAGTTTTTATCAAATTGTCTTCCTACATTGTAAATAAAATTTTTTTAGTAATGATTTATGACTCTGTCAAATGTCACCTTTCTCCTGAGAGAATTTAGTTTTGCAGCTGGCTACAAAGATTAGGTTAATTTCTCTGAGCTTCTTTTGATCTTTCCCCCAAAATCTACATTGTCTTTGTAGCTCTCTGATGGCTTCAAGCAGTTTTAAGAACAGAAATTGTATAGATTTTCCATTTTCTCTCACCTAGAAAACTGGTATGAAACAGAATAAAAAATAAATTTTATTCTAAGTACAATATAAAAATGTGAAAAAATTTTAAGAAAAGTGCTAGCATAATCCAATTCCCATTTTAAAGTGATCTTAAATTACTTGTTTTATCATCTTATCCCTAAAAAAATCTGAAGTTTCCTTTCATCTACATTTGTGCTGTTACCATTCTGATATAAACTCTGTCTCATCACTAGCCTGAATTATTCTTTTTAAATCTCACTTTCTTCTGAAAGCTGTTGTAACATACCAGTGTTAATTCTTTTATGTCTGGATTTAGAAATTAAAGATGATTATGCAGTCCTTTCAGTAATATTAGTAGTTAATTTTATAGAAAAGCAGATCAGCTTAAGGTGATAATTTGCTCACGATTACAGTGGCATGTTGAATCTAGGCCTTTTTAATTTGAGAAGCTAGATCACTTATTTTATATTATAGCTATGTACAAATGTTTATTGATGTAATACTAGGGTTACCTTCTGATACCCGATTAAAACTTGGAAATGTTACAGGTTAAAAACACACTTGATGTACTTATTCTACTGAATGTCATAACTTAGCAACACATATTCAATTAAGATTTAAGTAGTAATTAAAAGTTTAAAACTTTTGTTGCTCATGCTCATTGATGTCAAAGTCACGAGCTAAATATCATCAAAGAAGGAGCTTTCCAGTTAAGTGACTGGGCTGGCAGAGCAGTAGAGACCACACTGAGAATGTGGCCACACAGGAAAGACTTGCTTTGTGAACATTTATTTATTTTTTAACTAGGCACTCAGGATTTTAAAATCATGCAATCAGAAAGTCCTGAGTATGGACAAGCAAGTCTATATTCAGCCAACATAGCATGAATAAATGTATATTCATTCTTTCGTCCATATATTAATACCATGAATCCTCTCTGTAGGACAGTTAAGCGTGAGAAGAATACAGAAAAAGTTATCATGTTGAGTGAAAAACAATCTTTCCAGATGTGGTTTCCTAAAAGATAATACAAAGCAAGAGACTCAGCCAAGAAAAGCCCCAGCATGGCTCAGTGCACAGCTAAGATTTTAGAAAGAGCTGACTTTTTCCAAACAAGGAACATGAAGTAAAGTACAGCTGAGCCACTTTGTTACTAAGTTCATTTTTGAAGTTTGTTCAAGTTTGTTTTTATCTCCTTTCAGAGAATATGAATTCTGCTTACCAAAAATGTTTAAATTTATTTCATATACATAAACATACTAGAAGTTTAAAAAAAGGATATAATAATCAAATGGTTTGTAATTTTTTTATTATTTAATAGGTATGCTTATAAAAAATTAAGTTTTTTGGCACTGAAGATTGAACGCAGGGCCTTGCACATGTGAAGCATGTACACTCTAGCACCAAAAGTTTTTTTGTTTTAAATCTCAGAGAGAAAGAGTTGTCGTGTGTGTGTGTGTGTGTGTGTGTGTGTGTGTGTGTGTGTCCTAAGTTTACAGCTTCTATCTTTGATATTTGTAAATTTGCCATTTGGGGATATTTTCAGAAACACATGTGTTATATGTCATGGTTTGTATTTACATGTCCCCCCAAAACGTCAGTGATCATAGTGGGGGCAAAGGGGTGGGACCTTTTGAAGGTGGCTGATTCTAGCGTTTGTGATTGGTTCCTTGTCTTGCGCTGGGATTGGCCGTGTGAGTGCTGCACCGCCCAGGGCCAGGTGACCCGCATAGAATATAAGAGAGGAAAGAGGTCTGCTCTCCAGCCACTTTTTTGTTTTTTCCCCTTCTGCTCTGGTTTTGGAATTTGCAGCAGCCATGGTGAATGGCTTTCCCTCAGCCACGCCACCCAGCCTTGGAACCAGCTGATTATGGAATGAAACTGCCAAAAAACCCTGTAAGCTAAACAAACTTTTCCTTCCCTTCATTTTGGGTGTCAGGTATTTTCTCTCAGCAACCAGAGAAAAGTAACCAAGACAACATATTTCTCCAGAGATTGGGACAGGTATAATCCTGTAACCATGGGCAAGAATTGGGAATGTGGGCAAGTGAAGCTTTTCACTTCTTTTTATAAATAAAATTGCTATTGATGTTTTACTCATTAATCTAAATCCCAATATGTGTCATTGATGCTTATCAGATTATGTTTCCATTTCAAATACATATTGTATTCTTGAAGTGATTTGAACCTACTTAATACATTTTTTAAGTGAATGAATTTTCTGTATATCCTGTAGTATCTTGAGTTTTGTATACTTGAAGTGTTAAAATTTCAGACCTGTTAGAACAGAAAAAGCTCACTGAAAGTGGAAACAATGTTTTGTAAAAGCTCACTAAGAGGGGCTGGGGATTTAGCTCAGTGGCATAAGCACCTGCCTTGCAAGCAGGTGGTCGTGAGTTCGATCCCTGGCAGAGCAGTAGAGACCACACTGAAAAAAAAAAAGCTCACTAAGAAAGAGAAGTATCCTATTATAAAGCATGGGTCCTAAAAACCAGACTTTCTGGGGAAAAATGCGAATTTCTTGTAATTTATTAGCATAGCTTTGAAATGGTTATGTAACCTCTATGGACGACATTATTCCCACTGTAAAACAGTATTAAAAATAATATATTATTTTGGAGTTATTACAAGAAACAATGGATTTTAAATATTTAGAATCTTGTCCTGCCCTTAGTAAGCATTCAATATATTATTGTTATTATTATTCACTTACCAATAAAATTTTAAAAATATTTTTTCACTTTAAAAACAAAGAAATTTAAACAATTTCAAATCAAGATAACAGGGCAGTAACAATTATAATACATTGCACATTGTTTTCTTCAGAGTAGTTAATCAGCGTACAAAACATAGCATGAGATATTGTCCAAACAATGTTAGTACAAATTTTTTCAATGAACTAAGTAAGAGAAATTAGCAGTATAAACATCTTAGCTATCATATATATATATATATATATATATATATATATATATATATAAAATTTCTTTTCGTATCCCTTCCTTCCTTCCCCTTTCCCCCATCACAGTTTCTCTTTTCTTTTGAATAGTTTCTTCCCTATTCACAGTATCTATTGTACATTTGGGATCCTATTTTATCTGAAGTGCCTCAGATATGGTGATATTTGCATAAATGATTATCTCCAGTTTCTGCCATTCTGCCAACTAATGTTATTTTCAGAAATAGTTCAAAATTTGCATGAGCTCTCTTGTATGCTGTTGTTTGATCTGTACCAGTTCTGTAGGTTGAAATCTGGTGGTCTGAATAATAATTGATAGATAGAAGCTAATAAGCAAACATTTGTTAAAATAGTAGTGCATGAGGGAAGGGTAGATTTTGGCATAAATGAACATGAGAGGATTAAAGGGAGTTTTTGAAGAGCGATGAAATTTGACTTCTTGGCTGTAGAGGGGGGTGTCAGGGTGCCCTGTTTTGAAGGTTGGAGCAGTCCCCAGCCAGAGGTATGTTCAGGTGCCTTTGCTGATACCACTGAGCCCTGCTGTACTGAAATTCAGGTGAGCAGAGTGCTTGTGCAGGAAGTTGTCAATATTCCTAAGAAATAAGCATCACGACTTTGATGAAATGTTGATGGCATGGGATTTCACACCTCTTCTGTACCACTAAATTGGCCATGACCATAAATGGGATGTCACTGTCAGTCCTTTCAAACTACAGGGCAGTAATTTGGTAGTACAAAGACACCTGGATTTGTGCCTCCTTTACCCTGAAATACAAGGGAATGTAATAGTCTGTGTCTAGTTTTGCCTTTGTGAGGTCTAAACCTTGGTTCTTTATAAGTATGGCATTTGGGAGATGTTTATACTAATTTTTGTTTTTTTAGAAGAGTAGTTCCTGTGAAGAGCTGTTACATTTGTTATATTATGTACAGCAGTGTGGGCACTACCTGAATGTTAAATACTAATGATGACAATCCTGATAATTCACTGTGACGCATTTAGTGAGTCTTCATTTATTGTGTGTTTACTGTATGATAACACATGTATCAGATTATTTCTTACATGAATTTGACCATTAAGACATTTGATCACTGGACTCATAGTCAAGGACTCGTGCTTTAAGTTTTTTTCCTTTTAGATTCAGATCAATTTCACACTTCCAGAATAATTGCAAGAAGAGTCCAAAAAAGCTTCTTGTGTTAGGCACAATTGTCTCACTAACATCTTTTATGACACAAGGTTGTGATCCAGGATCTGTGTGGTACCTAGTCATCTCACTTATTCTGGAAAATTTCCTCCTTCCTTGACTTTTATGCTTAGGTTGTTTATGAAGATTACTGGTCACTGTTTGGAAACTACCCATGACTCTGGGTTTATCTAATATTTCCTTATAATTTTATCTGGACAATACATTTTATAAACAAAATTTTACATATTTTCCTTACATCCTGTTGTATGATACATGGTAACAGTTTTTTCCCTGTTACTGGTGATGTTTATTTTACTTGTTAGTATCTGTAAGATTTCTCTGTTGTAAAGATGTTTATTTTACTATTATTATTGTGAGTGTGTGTGTGTGTGTGTGTGTGTGAGTGTGTATGTCTGCAAGCAAGTGTATGTGGACTAGGGATTGAAGCCATGGCCTTGTGGATGCAAGACAAAAAGTCTACCACTGAGCCACATCCCCAGCCATACATTTAAAAATATTTTGGAGTTAGTAATTATTTTGTGAGGGGAAATTTTGAGCCTGTAAAATTCTTCTCTTCAGCCTAGTTTTGCCCATTAGTTTTAGCATCCAGTACCATTTCTTGTCTGATTATTACATTGGATGCAAACTGCTGATTTTCTAATATCTTTCATTCCTTCCATATTGCTTAGTATTAGACTTATTTGGTTTGTATCTTTGAGGATTCATGAACTATGTTATTCTTAACTTTTTTATATCTAGAATCTATATTCTATTTTTTTTTTTTTTTTGAGACAGAGTCTTACTATGTACTTGAGGCTGGCCTTGAACTCAAGATAATTCTCCTGCTTCATCTTCCTGATTGCTGAGATTATAGGCATGTACCCCCACGCCTGGCCTATAGTCTAATATTTTGTCTGTATTTACTCACAACATTTCATGTAACAGGCTTTAGGCATACAGAGATGAATGAGTCAGTCTACTACAAGCTCAGCATAGGATAGGCAAGCAGACATGTTAACAATTGCTGTAACAGTATAGAAAATTCCTATAACAGTTATAGGAGAAGAATACAAAGCATTTCAGGAGGGAAGGGGTGAATCAATACATTTTGACATAGGCAGCTGGATAATCTTCATTAACAGAACTATTTCCCTAAAACTTAATTTCTAGTTGACTTTGCAAATTCGGACTTTTTCTTAACCTTCTTTCTTCTCTCCGGGCTCTACAGGAGGGCCGACCAGGCTGGTCAAAGGAAAAGTCTCTCTTCATGTCAGGACACTTGCTGAGCAAGTGGACACCTGACTGCCCTTACAGGCTTCCTTCGCCTGTGTCTTGTAAGCCCCCAGTTTGGGCCATTTGGCACATTTTAAGTGTGGCTTCTGGCTTTTCAGTGGATCTAAATTTTATCATATTTTATACCATTAACTTTTTTAGTGTATATATTTCAGTGATTTTTAAAAACTACTTTTATAAAATTGCTTATCAAGTAATGTCAGGATTATGGAATTTTTAAAATCAGTTATGTCAGGTATAGTTAAGGGACGTCATAGGAGAACCCCTTATTCTCTCTTCCCTGTTTTTCTCCAATTGGATTCTCCATTCAGAAAGTATCTCTTATGCATGCTTATCAGTTAAGCATCTCAACAATGCAGAAATGTGGGTTGGTTTGTCACTCTTCAGTGAAAAGTCATTATTTCCTTGGCTTCCAGTGGGGGAAATGAGGACTCTTGGAGAAACTGATCTGTTACTCCATGGTGCAGTTAGAATATACACGTTCAGGTGAATGAACCTCTGTGTCGTTCTGGGTTCAAATTATCTGAGAGAGAAATATGCTCCCTGATCTAATAAAGGAGTCTCACATTCCAGCTCAGAAAGCCGTTGTGTTTTCTCAGCACTGACCCACTCAATTTTCAAAGAAAATAAATTTACTATGAATAAATTACATCTATATCTACTTTGAGGTGATAAAAAGGTAATATAATATTACAAATTCTATGAAATCTCTGCATTATAGAAATTGATAATACTTTAAATATTAAAGCATTCTCTTTCAGTTGTGTATTTTACATTGTGAAGATACCATTGAAATCATTAATGTACTCTTTTGTTTTTCCCTGTTCTGCAAATTGAACCCAGGGCATTTCCACTCTGTCTTTTTAATTTTTTTTTTTTTTTTAAATTTCAAGGCAGGGTCTTGATAAATTGCCCGGGCTAGGTTTATACTTGGAATGCATTCCTGCCTCAACGTCCCAGGGTATTGGAATTATAGGTATGCGCCACCACACCTACCTCACCCAGGTATTTTGATAAGGGGTACGGATACTGGCCTACATCTCCAGGGATGTCAGACCTGTTCAAAGCTGGTTGCAATTTGCAGTGGAGCACTTATGAAATGCCTATTATTATTCTATTTTGGACATAACACAGTGACACTTTCTTTGTGGCTTACAAGTTCACAGAATTCATAGGCAATTTATAGAAACTCAAATGGTTAAGTAGCCTTGTAAAAAACTATTTGCATCATAGGGGTACCTAGGTCTCAGTTTTCTATTCATTCTTACTGTCTTGAAACTCTGTCCAGCTGTCCCTTTGAATCGTTAATATGGGTACAGTTGTGTCTCAGCACTTGCTTGGGGTCCAGGTGGTTTCCCCATTGTTTCTGTTTAAAACTAGAGTCACCAAGTGGATCAGAATCATTTTTTAGGGTCTTCAACTGTTCCCTTTTGTTTCATTCATAACTTTGGTTTAAA